TCCAGTGATGGAACATCCACCGTATTCTCCGGACCTAGCACCGTGCGACTTTTTTCTCTTCCCAAAAATCAAGTCTGCGCTGAAAGGGACCAGGTTCGAGTCCGTGGATGCAGTGAAAGCAAAAGCGACGCAACTCTTGAAGAGCATAACACAAGATCACCTGCAGCACTGCTTCCAACAGTGGAAAATTCGCATGGAGCGGTGTAGGGATCGGGGAGGGGACTACATTGAAGGGGATAACATTTCGACTGTCTGATTTTTTTTTAAATAAAGGGTTAGAGCATGAATCCGGTTTCTTTATTGCCACACCTTGTATTGTGGAAAGGTAGAAGAGACTGGAGAACTCATTCCTAACACATGTAACATGGAAGTATTATTAGAAGATGAAGAACAGTATATGCAACTAACAATAAGCAGACAAGAGCAACTGATTAGCTATCAAACAGTTGTGGATGAAATTGAATTTAAGAGACTTGAAAGGTTGAGAGATCCTAAGACTGCAGTCTTGAGAGATGTTGCATAGTCTCACAGAAGACTAATAACATTTCAGAAGAAGACGCTGCATGGAGCAACTTTTGCTTGACACTGCTGGGAACTGTCAACCAGACTGTATGGTATCACATCCCACAAGACCACAGCCTCAATATTCACCATCGCAAGAACATCAAATGTCATATAGTGGATCCTAATTTATAGGTTATTTAGTGATACTGTACAAACTACATAATGAGGAGCTTCAGAACTTGCACGCTTCACCAAGAATGAGGGAGGAGCCAGTAAGTCACAGATGAATATAAAATGCAAACATATGATATTGGAACCTGGAAAAACGTTATTTCTCAACACATCCTCCACCAACATTGATATGCTTGTCCCATTGCTTTATCAGGGCATCATAACCCATAGAAGTCTTCTGACTGTTGCCTCAGCCACTTCCACACCTTTGCTTCAACCTCGTCATCATCAGGGAAATATCTGCCATGTTTCTTAACCCAGCTGTGAACCGCTTTACATGACAAACACTTCTCACCATAAACAGGAAATATTTCTTCATGAATATCCTTTGCATTCAGTCCTTTTGCTGACAAAAAAGTACAACAGAATGCTACTCTTCGGTAGTACACCACTCAAGCACGGTCGCCATTTTGGCTACTGATAGACCAGCCTCTGAAAATGTGGATGCATGTCTGCTACCTAGACTGTCATGAAGCTGGACTGTGCTAGTACCTAGCAATACACACAGAAAACCTATTGTGTTCATTACAGCTGTTTCACTTCCATTTGTGACCTATTTACCGACTCTCCTTCATATAATTAGAATGATCAAGTCAAGAAGGAATGCATATGGGAGTTTGATGGGAAAGTCAGGAGGAAAGAGACCACAAGAAGACCTACACATAGGTGGGTGGATAATATTAAAATGGATCTTATATATAGGATGGGGTGGTATGGACTGGATTGATCTGGCTCAGGATAGGGACCAGTGGAGGGCTCTTGTGAACATGGTAATGAACCTTTAGGTTCCATAAAATGTTGGGAAATTCTTCACTAGGTGAGCACCTGACAGCTTCTCAAGTAGGGATCAATACCATGGAGTTGGTTGGTGATGCTCTAAAGTCTGTTGGCATTGCCATGATGCAGGGGTTGAGAGAGTGGGGGGAAGTCTTCAATGATGTCTTGTGGCCTTAGGTAGGAATACAGACCCACTTCAATCAGGATGAATTGCATCAAGAGTAGAAAATGCTGAGTGACGTGAAGGTAGGTCATGAACAGGGAACTGGGTGGCAAATGGGGAGGCAAAGTGTTTCAAGGAGTAAGAAGTGAAGACCTGTCAGTTCTCAGGGGATGAAACAACAGTTACGGTATGAGGGTCACCAGCAGTGAATCTGTTCTAAACCCTTAACAGAGCATTCACACAACTTACTTGCTTAGCAACCTTTCTAGATCTGGTAGTTGACTAAGCATTTCTTGAGCTTCAGCCATTAATGATGTGTTACCCAACAGCCATGTGATAGCCTCTTGTCGCGCTGCAATACCATCAACATCACAGAGAGGACTGCACAGCCAGTGACGTAATAACCTAGAGTAGACAATGAAATGAAATCATTAGGCAACAGACAGCATTTATTCATATCAATTACAGATTACAATTCTGATTAAGAGGTGAAATTAAAAATTTAATATCCTGTACTTAAAATAAGCTACAAGATGTTGCATTCAGCGGGTAGCATTCCCACTTCATACACAAAAGGTCCCAGATTCAAATTTCAAAGTGGAGACTGGCTATCCCAGCTGTTAGTTTCTGTGGAGCTCCTCAATTCTTCCTGGCATATTCTGGGACATCACCTCAAATTAAGTTATCACAGCTTCATTCCACATCCTTTCCTACTCATTACTCATTGATCATCCTATTATTCAATGCTAAACAGTCACAGCTATGAATATCATTAAATAAACCTTGAATAAACAAATAAATTACCGCTTTCCAAAAGGTGTGCAGCAAAGGTCCAATTTCTGTAACAAAGTTCCATCATTTTCACCAGAACTGTCATTGACAATGTTTAGATTGCACAGTGTTATGCCATCCAAAATCTGTAATTATAAAAAGGACATATTAAACCTTACTGCCTCTCTTAGCTTCTCCAATATTCATCAGTCCCACTGCATTTTGATATATGGATCCATATCTGACATCATTTCTACCATATACACTGTCTGTGTTCTGACATGGGCATCTCTCAAGTTATGGCACAGATAGCTTGTGATCTGGATGAAGGAGTTTCATACACCTATCCCATGGCAGATACTGCAATATACATAACTTTTCCCTGTATTTCACTAGATATGCATATCAAAAAATAACTGAAACTCAAATTACACACCTTAATGTGAATTGTACTCCCTAGTATGTACCAACCTGCAACCAAGTTTATGTATGACTGATCCAGTACTTGCCATGTGCTTGCTGAAGGAAGCCTTGGAGACCACAGTCAAGACGGGCCTCGCATTTTCTACTAGATCGTGTGGCTGATAGATCTCAAACCTTCCCATGGATAACAGCTGCTGATCCAAAAAACTTTCCTTCAGATACCAAGTGCAAGCGCCCAAAGCCCGCACAGCTAATTCATAGTTATCATGGGCAGTAAGTCCCAAGGTGTCAGCTGCCAATGAAATGCTCAATGTACTATAAACAGGTTACAGGTTAAAAACTGTAGTATGTTTTCATTATTTTACAAGGTTCATGGGATCACCGTCTCTCTCTGTGTGTCCACTTGCCTCTGACTGCTGCTGAAACAATTCTACTCATTTATACTGTTGTAATGAAATAAACAGTCTATTTGTCATATAGATGTTCATATTTCCTTCCCTCCTGACTCCCATATCCCTGTAGTCACTGGTCTCACCCTTCCCTGCTCACTCTCCTTTGAATAAAACCAGTCCAGGTGAATATTGTTGAAAGCATGCCTTCATGTGCTGTTCATTTCAATTCATTGTATTTCTAATGTTATATTTTAGCGTCCTGTTGCACTGATTTAAGTCCATGATTTATTTAATCCGTCTTGCAGTGCATACATTCATTTATCTCCTTCTTTCCCTCGCACTACATGTTTCGGCATAATAATGCCATCTTCAGGTGCTTGCTTGTCCACGTCAAACCAGTTCATTGCATGNCAGACCAAAATATACTAAACACTGAATTAAATCACTTTTACATTTTGTTTCCAGAAAACACCTTGTTCTGGTTAATTATATGATTTGCTTCTACCGTACCAAAAAGTGCCCAATGGCAACACAGACCAAACCTACCTTCATTCAGAAATTTCTTCAGCCCCTCTGGCCAATTTACTCCTGAAGATTCTGAAGAGAAATAACCCCCTTCTGCTAATGTTGTTAGTGTCTTGTGAGCACTCCAAAATTCTGTTTCAGGAGCAAGGGATTCTTTCAGCACTGATGCCAAGGATGAGTTAAGAAGCTGTAATGTTTTTTCAGAGAGAGCTCTCTTCTCGTACAACACCTGAAGAAACATAATGTATTTCATACAAACCCTTAGTACTCCCAACTTCTCTCAATATTTCATCTTATAAAGCTGAGCCTAACTTTAGGGAATACTTACTTACTTACTTAGTCTTGGAGCTGAGCCCTTCTGGAGGAGCCACCAATTCTGCAGCTACTCAAGAATTTCCCAGCATTTTATGGAACCTGGACCCTATCCTGAGCCAGACCTATCCAATCCATACCTTCCCATCCTATCTCTCTAAGATCCACTCTAATATTGTCCACCCACCTACACCTTGGTTTTCCCTGTGGTCTCTTTCCTTAACTTTAGGGAATATACAATTAAAAATATGCACCCAAAAATGTATGATACTTATTGTACACATTTGAGAAACATACCTGTACAGGTGGATGGTGAGCAACCAGGGTCCTCAGACGTGAACAATGTCTATCATCAACAAACTGTCCCAAATGAAATACTCCAATCGATGTATCAATAAAACATATTCCATATGAAACAGAATCCCCTGCAGACTGCAAAGAGAGGGAGGTATGGTAGAATATGGTTTTCAATATATAGTTTTGGCCAAAACTTATTAACCAAAAGCATTTTCATTTTTATTCACTTTTCTCTCACAAACTGTCTCACAGGTAATGTGTAAAATCAAAAGTAACAATATATTTATGCATTCAAAGCACTATTTTTTTATTGCTAGTGGGGTGGGACTAAGTCCCTTGTACTGCGGCCACTTACGGCCTATTATACCAGCCCCAGATGATAGGTGAGGGTGATTGTGGAGCAACTGGTGGAATGAAGATAGGCAGGGGAAACCGAAGTACTCAGAGAAAACCCGCCCCAGCGCCACTTTGTCCACCACAAATCCCACCTGAGCAGACCCGGGATCGAACCTGGGCTGCCACGATGGGAAGCCAGTGACTAACTGCTTGAGCTATGGCACGGCCCTTCAAAGCACTAACGACATGCTGTAATATTCACATCAAAAATATTTATTTTTCTGACAAACCACTCAGCATACACAGACATTGCACTTCTGAAGTTCAAAGAACAGATTTTATATACTATACAGATGATATATGGATATGCTGAAAATGGCCTCTTGTTAGATCCCCACAATAGCATAAGCTATTAAGCACAAGGAAGATTTTCAAGCAATAAAAAAACAGGTGTTTTGTGCTAAATTAAGCACCATAAATATGTATTTGAGCTTAATTCAGCACCACACCTTGAACAGAAGCAGAGGAACAAAGGTATAGCTACACATATTTTTATCTTCTGCACTAGATCAAGATGAAAAGTCATGTTCATATCCTGGTTGCTTTACCCTCGGGGAAATAATCCCAAATACCAACTGGACAAGAGACTGTGAAGACACAGGGCCAGTGGGGCAGGGGTGGCAAAGAAAACAATCCGCTCTTTTCCTACAAACCTTGTCCTCAAGTCATCCAACACTTAGATTAATCATTATAGTGATTAAGGACAAAATACCCCGTTTAGTAGTATCATAAGAGGCCAACTAAGCATAATACTGGGATGATTTTGACAGGAATAAATTTCCCTGAGATGTATTTGCAAAACGGGAAGATAAAATACACCCAAAGAGATTCATTTTTTTAGTGTACTACAATGTAAAAATTAGCATTCATGACTTGAGCTTACCTTCTCAGTGACAGCAAAAAGGTAACTATTTTCTGCACTGCTCGCATCCCCATCAATAACACTGAAGACTCTGGTTCCCTTTGCTGTAATCTGGCATATTTCTCTCTTCACTACCTTATCAAATTTGGTAACTTTCCCCACTGAAGCAAAAAAAAAAAAATGTTTCTTTTATTAAAATATCAGTACACTTAGGGTAACAGTTGGCTTGCAGCTTCTCTGTGTAATACTATCACAGCAAGGCTGTGACTACAGTGATCACTTACTTCCTTTGCAGCGTTCCCCCATCATCTCTGGTGTCTCAGTCTGCTCAATACGAGCCACCTTGTAGCCTTTCTCTATAAGGCTGCTGGCAAATCTCCCATAGGCTATTTCAGGAAATCCAGAATGCGCATTATCTCCCTGAAATGGCAACAATTACATAAATAATGTACAAAAGTTCCCACGAGTACAATTCTGCAACAGTAATACGTTAATACATATGTGTGTGTGTATATATATATATATATATATATATATAACTTAAAGCTATCCCTGTAACAGGCCATGAAGGCCCACAGAGTTAAGACGTCGAGATTCCCAAATCTAATAGACAATCGGCTCACACGTGGCGGTATGGCTGTCAGCCTTACGGGCCGGCCGCCCTTTACCCCCAAGGNACACAGGAAGATTCCTGGTACTCATTTCTGTTAGAGGCTTAGTCGAACCCAGGGCCGTAGTGCATCTGGAAGGATTAGGTCAACTGAAAAATCCACCTCATCAGAACTCAAACCTGTGACCTTCCAGCTTGTAGCATAATGCCTCAACCATGTTACCATGTAATACACACACAAACACACATGTATACATAAACCATATCAGACCACAAAGTGATGACCCCTCATACCAACACTCAGTGCTGTCTACCTCAGAGCAGCACTGGCTGACAGTCACATGTGGGCCAGACATATAGATAATTGTATTACCATGTGACTGAGTGACTACAGGCGTGGTTTTGATTGGTAATCGGACTTATTGCACACTTATACAACTCATGACTACACTTCACAAATCACTATCACACACAGACTAGTGTTCTCAATCTGTTATAGTCTCCACCAGACATTCACTGGTAGCAGCTTCCAATGACGGATGTTCCCCTTACTCTGCGTTCTGGAACTATCCCTGTGTCTCAGCTACCAGCATCTAACAGGAACAGCTCACGATAACTGAACTGCAGCAGTCCTCTGACTGACTGTTCAGCCAACTCATCTCACTGCACTGTAGTCAAGTGCACGACACTCACTAACTGAACTGAACTTGGTCAGTCAAATCATATAGCCTCAGAGCAAACCGCATAAAAAAAAAACTTCATCTGTTGCTCGCAGGACGCTGCCTGGCAATGGCCACTGTCTAGTCTGTTTCACTCTCATTGCCTTGCAACGGATCTATACACCACAGTATTTCTGTTTTCTAGACCAGAGCTGCTATGTTTCTATGCAAGTAGCTCCTCAGTTATCCTCACAAGGCTGAGTGGACCCCATTCCAGACCCACTACTTCTCAGAAAATCTGGCAGCACCGGGAATCGAAGTCGGGACCTCTGGATCTGTAGCCAGGAACTGTGACCACTAGACCACAGAGTTGGTCAAGCTCTTTCAAATATGACATTGAACTTGAAAGGATTCTGACGATGGTGTATACACTACTTCTTTTGGTTTATTTTGGACTTCACCCATCGTCTGGTATGTGAAAGACAAAAAACCACGACGTTTCGGAGACTGGATCTGTCTCTGTCTTCAGGTGGATAGGGAAGGATAAACCTACTCAGTTGGGCCCCTTAGAAAGAACTAGTCTCAATCACTGGACCTTTTTACTTCTTTTGGTTTATTTTGGACTTCACCCATCGTCTGGTATGTGAAAGACAAAAAACCACGACGTTTTGGAGACTGGATCTGTCTCCGTCTTCAGGTGGATAGGGAGGGATAAACCTACTCAGTTGGGCCCCCATAGAAAGAGCTAGTCTCAATCACTGGACCAGACGATGGGTGAAGTCCAAAATAAACCAAAAGAAGTATGATATTGAATGTTTATATTCTACAAAAGGTGGGGAATTTCTTATTTGGTGAGTGACCATAAATTTCTCAAGGATTTATATGAGGTCGGTAATATGTCTGACCTGCATTTAGGTGATATAAATTTAAATTTCAGCAAAGCCGAACTGAGAAACGATATATACACACACACACACACACACAGTAAACTCTTCACTATTTGGCATATATGAAGAATGGGGTGTGCTGGTTACACAGATCTGCTGGAGGCTGCATGAGAATAGTTCTTACAGAAAGTAAACACAGAGACCAAATAACATGTTTCTACTTCAGTTCTTGCAAGGGTGTCTCTACATGATACAGCAAACTGATAGATCACTTATGCTGTAATGCAGTCACAAATCTAACTATTCTCTATGGCAGTGGCACCTGCAAGGAGAACAACAAGCAGTGCTACTAGTGGCTGCTGGGAGAACCACCACATGGCAAAGTGAACATCTGCATGCTGCACATTTGGTTTTGAATAACCTCATAAAGATGGTAAACTTTCCTTAAAATTTTTGGTGTTTCGAGGAGAATTCTAAATGCTTAGATACCAGATAACTAACAGTTTATTGTATAAAAAGAAATGCTGTATTTGAAGTATTTCTTGAAAACAGACTAACCCTCATGTACTGCAATCCAAGTTCAGTGACACCTGTCACAGCATCCATATGGAAGAGTTCATAGAATTTCCCAACTTTGAAGAACAGAATACAATCAAAGTGCTGGGATTTCATCTCCCACCACTGCCTCAGTGCCTGCAAAGTAGCAATGAAATACTATTTCAGTAAATTTCACTCTACAGTTTTTTCCTAAAACAAAAGATGTTTTAACAAATCATCACATAGCACAAAAGCTATTCAGTTTAAGGTGTTACACATTAACATACTTGTCACACTGTGAAGTCCAGTAAAAGTCCATCTATCTTTCAACGTGAACTATGCATTGCCATCATTATCATTAGCTGTACACAATAACAAATAACAGAAAGCATTACATATCACTTACAGGAGTCAGATTTCTTTTAAATTCTTCAGGTACATAGAGTGTCTTGGGGTCATAATCAGGATCTGCAGGAGTCCGCCTCTTGGCATCACGGATCTTATTTGGTTTCAAGAAATCAAGCTTCAAATGGGGCCATGCTTCTGTACTTCCAGCTTCAGTTTGCTTTGCTTCTGTGTTCTGCAACAGAAATTGTAATACAGTAAAACTTGGTTATAGCAACATCGGTTTCTGCGACACCTTGTCTATTGCGTCAAATATTCAATGGTACGAACTAATTCCTCATAAAGCAACTGTTTTTATACCTTGCTTAGTACGACATGCACAAATGCATC